ATGTTTGACATCAAAAGAGTAACTGTTATCTCAAGCATCTGTGTTCCAGCCATCTCGTCAAAGATTAGACTGAAGACAATGGGGGTAGTGGGGATCTGGTCTCACCTCACCACTCCCCCCTTTCTCCAGCCACACTCGGTCAGATGACATGTTCATTTCTTTGTTTCCGGGATTTGCATGGAGGCGTAACTGCCCGCCTCTCATTATCATATTGTCTCTATATATTCTCATGACTGCATTTTTTCTACGCTTCCTGACGAAATCTGAGACTCTCAGGAGCCCGAATCGATTTGTGTTGCGTTGTGATAAACTGAGGAAAAGACGACGTGGTGTTGGGTCTTCTTCCACATTATAGAGAAATAAAAGAACCTGTGTCCAAGGAGGGCCTTAAGGAATTGGGCAGATCCCCTCCTCTACAAAAGTTATTTCATTTCCTTCTTATTTAGACAGAAGAAATTCCTGCATTCTCACTACTGCTGTTTGTTTGTTTTTACTTAATTGTTGCATTATCTTACGCTGTCGGCCTCAACTGTCCATAAGAGCAGTTGTCTCTGTCACAATTTTGTATGACAGTTCTATACTTAGGATTGCATCTATCATGTTGTTTTCAGTGGCTTATCTATGACGGGTGAGCTGAAGTCATTCACGATAATGATTCACACGCACGATAACAACTATTTAGAGTCTACAATTAACCTACCATGCATGTGACAAACACTGGAAAACCACCATGATCCCTCATTGGGGATTATAATACTCAAAACAGACAGTTCATACTGGAAAAATACTCTACAGGGCAAAAGCAAGATATGTGGGAAAGGAAATTCTACAGATCTTGTCTTTTAGGGACCTCCCACATGAGGAGGGAGGAAATTTCATAAAATGATGAATCCACTTAGACTTGCCGAGTAAATAATTCATGAGCCAAACATCTTTGGAACTCTTTTTAAGCTAAGTGAGAAAGATGAGTCATCCTCATTACAACAATGATGTGTCACCTGCCTTAAATCAAATCCAGCTTCAAATATTTGCAGTCCTTCTGCTAATTAAAATGCAACAGGCTGTGATTAATTTTCATTGTATAATCAGTGAAAGATTCCAATTGAAATATGCTAATGTACAGAAGTACAGTAAAATGTTTTTTTTTTCATGAACTGCTCTAAAACAGGGGAGAAAATATATCCTGTGAACAGCTGTATAATGTTTCCCTTAAAAAATAAGATCCACTTATTTTCCACAGAGAATGCCACACTGTGTCAAGTGAAGTGACGCAAACGCCACAGTCTTGTTGGATGTTAAAAGCTATGCTGCCCCCTACTGGTCTTTTGGTGTGCTTCACTGTCACCATCTACATTCAAGCAAACAACCCATGATGAGGTCAGACCACGGTTGACAAATACATCTCCACTGTTGCAGTGTGACACAGCATCTGCTTGGGGCATTTTGTTAGTCATTCAGACGGTCATTAAAGATCTAAATTCAAAACGGTCCTTATGAAATGCATAAAAACAAAACACAATAACAGAAAGAGACTCAAAAAAATAAATAGTGCTTAAAGCTGTTCAGCCTAATTTGTTCAGTAACATAATGGTACCCATTGGATAAAATCTGAATGCTGACTAGTGGGCCATGTTATTCAAACTAACATGGATGAATTTAGTTTACTGGAATACCCACAGTAATCCGTAAAACGGGGCGACTCGATGCTGGCTCAACAAAAATGTTTTATTTAGTCTGAAGTTGGTGAATGGTCAGGCTTTTTCAATTCCCTTTGCCATCGGTCGGACAATCGTCTACACTTAGAAGTAGTCCATTGTTCAATATTATTTGCTCACATTTCAATAATACATTTGAAAGAACTTATCAGGCAACAAAATGCTGCACGACTATCAGCCATTCATTGTTGAAAAAAATGTCTAATTATCTTAAGATACCCCCCCCACACACACACACACCCTCACTGAATACCAAATTGAATACATTTCATTTCAAACGTTAAAACAGTTGGTCTCCCACTTTTGTTCGCTGTCAGTGTGAGCTACCACATTTCTTGTGTGTGTTGTGGTTTATGGGCATTCACAGAAGATGCATGTGTCTGAGATTTGGTCATTTTTCAATGTGATTCATAATCTGCATTGGGCGACATTTCACCAAGAACGGAGTATCTTTCGTGCTTAATCTATTGTTTTAACAAATGACATGACCATTTCATCTCGCCACTTCAGTGCATTATCAGGTGTGCCTGTGCAACATGAGCAAGGAAGACCTATGGATGGGCCACCTAGTAAACCCAAAGAGAGAGAGAGGCTTCCCAAGATCTGCTTCGCCAGCACAGAGGCTCAACCCCCACACAGGTAGCCGGCAGTCTGCGCCATCTGATGACATTGGTGGAAGGATTAACCACACTCAAAGATGGAAATACAGGAGGACAAATCAAGGAGAAATCAACAAGGATTCTCCCTTTGTCTCACGGCGTGGGTGTGGAAAGTAGAGTCACCTCACTGCAGTAGTCATAGTTAGACAGACACACCCATATTTGTAAGTATTCTGCATTCATCCCTGAATGTGCCGTGCTTAATTCGATAGATAGCTAAAAGTTCTCTAAATGAGAGGCAAAGTGATTTTGTTTGTATAAAAAAGGCGAATGGAAAATAGCCTCGCTATTGTGGTCACATGAAACCATCAAACAGCTGTCACTTTAGCCTCAAACATTACAGTCGCACGCGCAAATTGAACATTGCAACAATATTCAGAGGCACGCTGTATATTCTCTCTTCTATGTGGAAACTGTACTGTACTGTTAAGCTTCAGTTGACTTTGCTGACCGTCTACTTCTTGACATCACCGGTCAGTTATTGTGTCACACAACTGCCACAGTCGGCTTCAACAGAAGGGACAGCACAGTATCAGCAATAGGTTTTGATTAACACCAAATGAGGTTAACTACTTGAGGTGCTGTTGATTCAGTCTAATTCAATAAACAACATCAAATTAGTTATGGGAAGTTGCTCAGTACCCACAAGATCGACACTGTCTCCTCTGAGCAGCAACATTCATTCATTTTCCGAACCGCTTTATCCTCTGAGCAGCAACAATATACTCAATACAACAAAAAATATAAGGACTATTCGGCGTTCGAGTGGAAGTTCAGGATAAAATAAAAATGCATTTTCATGTCAACTTGACCTTCACTTTCTCTAAAGTTTTGAATGTACAGTAGTACATAGCCACCTCTTGAAGGTTTTAGTACCTTTTGCCAAATGTTATAGCTAATCCTGGTGTAAATATCTGTTAATAAAAGCTGCTTTAATGCTGATCTTTCCTCACAGTCACACTGTTTTTCTTTTTAAGATGAAATCCAAATGATGCTAGAATAAAATATTTGGCCTCACTCATCCACTAATTTTGGACAGGAGTGCACAAACTGTACATGTGTAGCAGCCTATTGTGACACACATCAACCCAGTCGTAGTTTTTTTCTTTCAGCTTGTCTCGTTAGTGGTCGCCACAGCACATCATTGGTTTTCATCTTCACAAATCTTTTGCCTTCTCCTTTCAAACACCAACTGCCCCCAGTGTTTTCTCTCACTACATTTGTCAACCCTATCTTAGGTCTTCCTCTAACTCTCTTGCCTGGCAACTCCAACCTCATCATCTTTCTACCAATATATCGTCTCATTTACACAGCCATCCCATTATTTTTTTTAAACTACTACAGAAAGTTTATTATTTCGTAGAAAAGGCATGGGTGCACACTGAATATCAAACGTGATGGTTTTGTGGTCTTAATGATTGTGCTTGATCATGTGGGATTCGCTTGGGATGCCTTGTGGTTTTTAATGTCTGTTGAACTGTATAAATAAGTGACTATGGACAATAACAATCGATCATGCTTCAATCATGTGAACTGGCAAACTCAATAATTTCCATTAATGTTGCAAGAACAGACTGTCTTCTGTTTGAAAACTAAATCCTAAAAATTAATTGTTTTACACCCAAATAATAGACAGGTAATAAACTGATTTTATAATCGACCATAACATTGTCATAGGATTGCTCAGTTACAGTTAAACGTTCTCAGACTGAGCCAGTTAATTAATTTAATGACAGAACGAGAATGTTTGTTAAATATGCCCAGCTGGTGTTTTCATAAACATGTATCAACGTTATAACGGACAGAACTGAAAATAAACGTCATCATCTGTGACACATAAGTATGCAATCTGCGTACAGTACAGTATCAACAATTCAACTTTCACAAAAATAATACCGCTCTTTTTTTTTTTTGTTTGTTTGTTTACTGGTATTTTGGTTTACATATTTCGATACATGGCCGGACCGCAGAATTATTTTTGTAAAAGCAGAAGTACGTTTTCCGCTCATAAATAAAGCAGCCAAGGTCGTGACATCGATACATCATCATCCACCCCATCAAGGTAATGGAAGTTTTACACAGCGGAAGTACTGAACCTTTACATTTCAAACTAAAACGAATTTCCAATCAGGTATACTACTTATTAAAAGCAATGATTTCATTAAATCGGATACACAAAACGTAAAAGCAAATTCTAAATTACCTTTGATAACCCTTTTGAACAATTCATTTCTTTTAGTAACACTAAAGGCGCTCAATACTTTTACTTTTATAGTACATCGCGGAAAATTAGTATTAAATTATGTTGTTAACATGTAGAGCTTCTTAATTTCCCCTTTTTTAAATAATTCTATCTGCCAATGGTTATTTACTATATCGGTTACAAGGTACAACAATAAAGCTTTCGGTAATGGATAAATTTGTTCGATTGTCATGTTGACGTTTGCAACTTAGCCCATTAAAGATTGACAGTATAGCTAGCTACATTTAAAAATGACTGCTTTGGAAACGGTGCTGCTTTGGTCGAGCGTTATCAAGCAAAAGCAACCGACACACACACGCACGCACACGCACAACAGTTTGACATTTTGAACAGGTATTTGTTATTCGAATATGCACACTTTACCTTTTGCTTCACAGTCGGCACAGTATTTGTTCTCATCCTCTCTCAGCAGTTTCGACAGAATGGCCTGATGCTGCTCATTCAGTTTCTGGGCTTTTTCTCTTTCGGAACGCGTCGTCATGTCTGCCCACGTGTGGATGTTAGTCCTTTATTGTGGACAGCCGAGAAATATGACAGAGAGAACAGGTTGATCATAAAACGGTTGTGTCATGCCCGTGAAGCTCAGCCTCACTGAAGTGTATGCACTGCTAGCATCCAACCTGCTAACCAAGGTAATATGGACACAGAGCAGCAGCATCCCTGCTGCGTTCATGATCATCGGATATTTGATTTACTCAGGCGAACATCCATTCGGCCCCTTTTTAATTATAGGGAGAGCGGGGCAAGATTTCATCAAGCACACAAGGTCTATTTTTCTGAGAAAAAAAATGTTAAACGCTACACGTTTACTAGAATAACCTGTCAACTGATGAGTATAAAAAGGCTGGTTATGGTGTCTGATTATTGTAGAGCTGTTCTACGGACAAATCAAATAAAAAGGCACTACCTGTACTGTAAAATGCACTGGTGTCCGAAATATAATGCATCACTCATAAGAAAATAAGGATATTCCGTTTTGGAGTGCAATGTCCAAACTTTCCAAACTTTTACAAATTTTTACATTGTATTTTCTTATTGTCTGTACAGTGTCCTTGGGTGGCATGAAAGGCGCTTTTAAATAAAATGCATTATTATTATTATTAATGTCAGGATGAGCATAAAATGCACTATGAACTTTCCAGGTTAACTTAATGTGCTCTTCTCTAAACCATTGATATAAAAATACTGTAGCTTGATACGGCACACCGTTTTAGCTGCGTGTCTAAAACGGTACTGCGGCAGCAGGAGCAAAGGCATCCGCGCCCTCTATCTATGTGGCTGGCAAGATAATCGAAAGAACACATTGTATATTGTATTGATAGCATGTGTTTCCCAATTCCAACGGCACCAACAAATGCATTGGTTGATTCATGGATCAACGTGTGAATTTTGCATTTAGTGCGCGGCGAAAAATAGCCTATATGCTGTGACGTTAAACACTGATTTGTTTGTGGTCAGTGGCAGAATTTTTTTTCAAATTTTAGATGGAAATGCTTACATATGGTAAGAATACTGTAGCTGGAGGAAACACTGAAAATTATTAGATTATCAATCTATTTGGCAGCACGGTGGCCTGCCTAACAGATAGGTTTCAAATCTTGCTCGATGTGGAGTTTGTGTTTTGCTCTTTCCGAAAAAACATCCGTCTTTGGTTAAGTGAAAACTCTAATTTTTCCACCACAGGTGCGTAAATGTTTGTTTGTTTGTTTGTATGTGCCCTGCATTAATTTTCCCCAAGTACTCCGGCTTTCTCCTAGAACAATTAACTGAAGCCTCTTAATTTCAACCTGAGTGTGAATGGCTGTTTGTATGGCTCACACAAAATCAGCAGTGATGGGCTCAAACACATCGAAGAACCGAATGGGGACATTCAGTATGCATACATTGACTAATAACACAAAAGAAAAAGCCAGTTGGCTATGTAGGTTGCAGTAAAATGCAACTTTAATTATTTTTAATGGTGACAGACAGCAGAATCAAAGGCAAAATATAATAAAATAAAAAACACAGCTGTACTGTGATACTGGCAAAAAAAAAACACTGGAGCTATTCATTTGAACGGTTACAAGTAATGGTAGTTTCTAACAGGTGAGGCACGCTAGCACAGGATTTCCTTTTTTAGGAAGTACCGTCGATAATAGTAAGTAGAACCAGGAGTAATTACATGTGTGTCACACCAGCTATATTAAAGAAAGACAGAAAAATCCAACTTCTTAAGACAAAACTGGTAATGGTGGAATAGTCAAGTGAAATGATTTGACATGTTTTACATCATATGAATTCACCCTGTACGGTTTTAACAGACTCAACAACTAAAGACACCACACTGAGTGTTTTCGATGGCAGCAAAACGAGATTCCTCGCTCACACATATCGATGCTTTAGGGAAAGCTGTTTTGCATGTACCAAAAAAAAAAAGACAAACAAAAAATATTACATGAACATTATTGTGCCTACAGTGATCAATGTGTGCAAGTCCTGCTGCAACATACGACACAATCTGAAATTACTATACTGTAGTGTATTTGGCCATGACACACTATTATTTTAAAGGAGTTAAAGGTACATAAACAATGTTTTTTGTTTGTTTGATTTTTTTTTTCAAAATGACAAAAAAAATCTACATCTGTTTTTTTCTTGAGAGAATGTCTCTCAACAAACAAGGTGCTTGCAGTTTTTCAAAACCACCACCACAAGTCTTTCACAGTATCTTATAAATTCCTCCTCATCATCCCTTAAAAAAAGAAAATCCACCCATGCTATTTTTACCCATTTCTTTATCTTTTAACTGTTGTGTTGCATTCACAAACAAACCGAACAGAAATCTAACCGAGGCCAATCAAAATACAGAAGCTGAGATAGTTAAAAACGGGGCAAGCAGCTTTCAATTTGTAACAAATACTTTTTAACATGTAGAAATTGTACACTGTATAAATTCAGAAGTTAACCTTAATAACGTCTTTACATGCCAATTAAATGTTAGTAGAGAATGTAGAGAATCCAATTCTATTATTTGTAGCTCATGTAGTATTGCTATTCGAGATTTCGTTAATTCAAACTACGCAGAGAGACAGATTTTCATCCACTGTGTCAGTATTTCGCTTCCCTAAATAGGTCAATGTAACACTTGTTGAGTGGTTGCTAGTTAGTGTGGAAAAATGGGACACACTCCTTCCAAGCGTTAATGTTTGACATGTGGCTAAGCAAACAAATGTCAACATCTGTGAACAAGCACAAACAATAAAACCTCCACACTCGTCGTATTTGATTTGGAGATGGAATGCGTTTTAGTACCTTTTCCATTACATATGTTAAAAGTACACCCTGGTGTAATTCAGATGTGGCACATATATAAATGTTATAGTGCATTTTTGATGATGACGTATGGCTGTGAATTTGTTGTTTGAGGTCTTGCGGTAGTTTTGGTCTTATGATGAACACAACAGAATGCACATGACGAACGATGAAACATAAGTATGACACTTGATGGGAATATTTGAGGGACAGAATATACAAATTGGCACACATCTGCCTTGACTGTAGACTCAATTATAATAGTGAAAACAAATCAATTTAGTACCTGTGCCATGTGTATACTCACAGGCTCTACAGTCTACACAGACTAGTGGCACTTTGTTTTTCCTCATGCAGCAAATGCCAAACAGTGGCCTTATCTTCTTCAATGACTTGGGTTTCTTTCGCAATAGCAGCGACAACAACAGTGTACACAGGTCAACAGGTTTGACAATGAAGACAAAAAAAAAATAATAAGAATCAAATAAACTTGCATGAGTTCACAGGACTGACTCGATGGCTTCCGGTACGGCTTCTGAGGCGTTGGTTTTGTGCATAACAAGCGGTGAGGTCTCCTCCTGCGCTTGGATGTTGGCCACCGTTTCTACCCGCACCTCAGAAAGCTCCCCTCCCTTATCCATCTCATCCTGCTGCTGCTGCTGCTTTTTCATCTCCTGCTGGTTGATGTGATGCAGGATTCCAGCACCCAAAGCATCGCCTTCCACATTGACCACTGTGGTTGTGCGATCCCTGCAAAGAGATGATACTAAGTCAACACATCATCTGAGACACACAGAACTATGTCTTTCAAAGCCATTTGCCCCCCCGCGCATAGGTGACACAATAAAAGTATCCTCTTTCATAGCATTCATATTTAACCTGCTGCAATACCACACAGAGCTGAGGTTAGATATTCAGTTCATGGCCTATAGCTCCTTCACGTGGAAATGTTTTAACCTCTCAGTTTTCCATTCAGGCTTCAACTTAATCTTGACAAAAACGTCCCGGTTACAGGATGTGGAAAAAAATGTAGTATCAACAATTTTGTGTAACAGATATAATTTGAGTTCCACCTCTTTAAATGTCACTCCAAACAAAAGATTAATTTCATGTAACGGATTTTGAAGACATTCTGCCTCTTTCGCTAAATGGCAATCGATAGTGTGTACATTTTTTAATATATATATATATATATATATATATATATATATGTATGCATACATACATACATACTGTGCATGCAAAAATGAAGAAATCAGCTGACCTCATCGGGTTCAATCGATCCCTCAAGGTCAGCCGAGGCGTATGCACCAGTGACGGCATCCATCACCTTTCGAAGGACCACTGCGGCCCACACAGAGCGTAATCTTTGCTTTTCGTCCTTGGCTCCAAGGTGAGCATTACTCACTTTGACTGAGGTGAAGATCATCAGATAAAATCACCAGTGTGACGCTCGCGCTTGACCACTTTGGCTCCAGTTTGCACTCACAATGGCGCTGTGGTGCAAAGGTATGCATATAAATATATGTGTATATATATGTATGCTTGTTTCATTCACAATTTCAAAAATGTAAATAATCTCTGTGCTGTCAGTGGGCAAATGTTATGCTATACTATCTGTATTAAACAGAGCAAAGGGGTTACACAAATTTGAAAACAACTGGTTGACGCTCCTGAGACAGCAAAAACCTCAACCAAACATTGCCTGTAGTTGCAGCTTGGACAACGATCAGGATATATTTTGGACCGAGTCAATTTTCTAAAACACTGTATGTCCTCTTTACGTCTCCAAAAACCATGTCGTCACGTACGCAAATGGTGAAACGACCTTGTTTTTTCCAGCATCATTTTAAAACAGCCGTTTGTATACTGCCCCTTAGATTTTGCTTCAATTTGGATTCCTAAGCTGAATTTGAGCTGACCAAATGTACTCACACAATCCAGTCAACAGCCAGCATAAGAGACAAATCATTGGTTGGTAACCCGATGGCCTCCAGGATAATGGCAATGGTGATGATGCCGCCAGCTGGGATTCCTGCAGCCCCAACGCTGGAGGCTGTGGCCGTCACCCTAGAAACAACAAGGAAACGTAGACATGTATCACAAAATCCTACTTTTTCATAGTTCCTCTAGGAGGAGACTGTATAGACAGCGGCACAGTACACTCACAAGATAGTAAAGATCTGTCCAGCATTGAGCTCAGTGTTGTTTAGCTGGGCGATGAAGACAGCAGCTACGCACTGGAATATGGCTGCTCCGTCCATGTTCACTGTGGCACCAATGGGGAGAATGAAGCGGCTGATGCGCTTGTCCACACCATTGTTCTCTTCCACACACTTTATCATGGAGGGAAGAGTCGCTGAGCTGTGAGGGTTTTGAAAACAACAACAACAACAACCTCAATTGTGATTTCTTTTAAAATTCTCAACAAATATCCATAATTTCTAGCCTTTGAAAGACAAGGTTAACGCTTTGGGTCACATGAATGGACCCCTGTCCATTCACTTTCGGTTGAGTAACCTTTTAACATACAGTATAAGGTTATTTATCATTTTCTCGAGCTTTCTGATTTGCCTACTTTCTGCTTTTTCAGCATAAGTAGTAATTATCTATCATAAGACAAATTTGCCTTCAACATCGCTGAAGCCATCCATCCATCCATCAATTTTCTAATCTGTTTATCCTCATGAGGGTCACGGGCGTGATGGAGCCTATCCCAGTGGTTCACCGTGAAATGGTTGCTAGCCAATCGCAGGGTACACATAGACAACTATTCATACTCACAATCACACCTTGGGACAATTTAGAGTATTCAATTAACCTACCATGCATGTTTTTGGAATGCGGGAGAAAACCGGAGTACCCAGAGAAAACCCACGCAGGCACGGGGAGAACATGCAAACTCCACACAGGAAGGCCGGGCCCTGGAATCGAACCCTACACCTCTGCACTGTGAGGCGGACGTGCTAACCAGTCGATCACTGTGTCACTGAGCTGAAGCCAGTTTAGCAAAAATAGGCGTACAATATCTATCTATTCATCCATGATCTGAGCAGTTTTTGCGGAAGTTTTGCTGATGTGCTAGAGAAGCGCAGACGGCAGGGTACACCCTGAACACGTTGCCAGCAAATCACAGGGCACACATAGACTAACAAACATTCACACTCGCAATCACGCCTAGAGATAATTTTGTATACAATCAGAACAGTTTTTCAGACAGACCATTTCCATTCCGCTGAGGGTTATAGTACGACAGGGAAGTAGAGTTATACCTGGAGCAGGTGGCGAAGGCCGTCGTGAAGGGCGTAATGAGGCCCGACAGAAAACTGAAGGGGTTCTTGCGCGTGAAGCCAAAGTAGATCAGTGGCAGGACAATGCCACCATGTATTATGTGCCCCAGGATGGAAGCAAATATGTATTTTCCCAAACTTGTGACCAGTAGAACCACATCCTCCATCTCCACAATCTTACTGCCCACCAGGAACACAATGCCAAACGGGATATACCTGAGGATTGGGAAAACAGGGTTCTGGTTCTGAAAACATCCGTCATGGTGGGTCTTTGAGGTTATGTAACTAAAAAGAAATGTCACCAATTTTGTACTTTAAAAACTTCATCGATAAGCACTCACCACATGATCCAGGATACCAGCACCATGGTTGCCTCATTGAAAGCGTTGAAGAATCGGATAAGCTCCTCGCCCTCATCTCCAAGTTTCCTCAGTGCCACACCAAACACCATAGCGAATAACACCAGACCCAGGATGTTCATGCCATCATTTTCTGTCCCAAAGGGCACCTAAAAACCATGAATTGGACAGATCAAGGAGAGACGAGCTGTAATTCTGAATTACAATTGCTGTAGTCAAAAGCCGGAAACCTGTCTCACATTAAAACATGCACATACAGTAGTTAATCAAGTCACGACCACCATATTAGAAAAAGAGGTTTATCTAATGATAACATTTTTTAATAATTTGGTGTATTATAAATACTTTTGACGTAAAAAAAATACTGTTAGGAGAACAAATACTGTAAAATGGTTGCATAAGTGTACACTAAAAAATAGAGAACGGGTGGTGATTGGATACATTCTATTACCATCCTTCCAATCACTGAAGGTACAAAAGGTAATTATTGTTGTTTTGTTGTTTTAAAGTTTTACTGTACTGTTACTGTACTTGGATCTCTTACATGGTAATAAACTATGCAAAAGGAATACAATATTTAATTATATTTCCACTCTATATGATAGTCAACAATTCTAAGGTGGAATTACCCCTACCATAATCTTCAATTTGTTTTCATAAAAAAATGTTGCTCTGACTGTATGCTAGGGCTGGATTTTTACTGCTTTTCTTTTTACTGTTTTTTTTTCTTGAAATGAGTGTGTGAGTGTACAGTCAGCGCGGAGCAGAACATTCAGTGAGCTGGATAATGGTTAACAAAAAGGACAGGGACAAATCCCTGATTCTGTCTGCACCCATTGTCCTGAGGGATCCCATAGCTCCATCAGCTTCATTCCAACATGGCCCATGACAGACAATTACCATGGACCAATGCTTAAGATGACTGAGAACCCCAAAGTCTGTGTGTGTGTGTGTGTGTGTGTGTGTGTGTGTGTGTGTGTGTGTGTGTGTGTGTGTGTGTGTGTGTGTGTGTGAAAAAAGGAAGCTGTTTACATAGATTGTGTGACTGTCCAGTCGAATGCATAATGCGACAAGCAAACAAAGTTGTTGGCCTCCATCCTCATCTATTTTTTTTTTAATACTCCAACCTTATTGGACAGCCTGGAAAGGTCACCAGTCTATCACAGGGTATATGTAGACAAACAACAGTTCATACTCACATTCACATCCACAGACTTCCGTTCACCTAACACACAAGAAGCCGGTCTACCTGGAGAAAGCCCACACAACCAGTGGGAAAACATGTAAACTGCACACAGGAGGTTTAGATCCACTAACAAGCATTCCACAGTGCTGCCGCCTGAACCACACTGTAAAAGTTTATTTGACCTGTACTGATGTGAGCGGGCTGACTGTCTCACCACCGTTAATTCCCTTCAGCCTTGATGTACATAAGTGGAAAGAATAACGTGACCTCCAACATATCTGTTTCCTTTTAGTTGAAGTTCAAGAAGTTTATGAGCATACAGGCTTTGATTACCTCCAGACGGGACAAAAGGAGAAAGCGTCCTTTTTGCTTTGAGGGACATAGATTTGATTGCTATCTGCATAGAAGTGAAAGGAAATATGCTTAAGACAAACCTTGGGAGCAACAAATACAATGAAAACAGCAGGGGCCCCAAAATTAAACCCTGTGGAACACCATAGGCCAGTGGGGCAGAGTGGTATTCAGAGCAGCCAAGGCTAACACATAAAGTCCTGCCTGGGTGCAAAGTATGTTTATAGGGAACAAATAGACACAGCTATGTCATCACCCTCCAATTATTCATCCACCCTCTTTCTCCATCTCATTGATCTCAGATGCAAGTCGTCTTCTGAGTGAGTTCACATTGCATTGTCAGAATAAAGGGCTGATGCATTACTGATTTGAGATGGATAAATTCAACATAAAAAGATATTTACACCGTGCTATCTGAGCTTCCCGCATATTTTGAACTGCTATATCTGTCTTTTTTGAGAGTTTATACTTTAAGTTATGGGTTCATTATCCATATTGTCCCTTTGTCATAGTCCATCATTTTACTTTTTTATGAATAGTTTAGTTACTGAAACCTTCTTAAATGAAGTACCTGTCTATTTGTCTTATGTGGGTGAGAATTTATGGCCCCCGTACCCTGACAAATGAATTCCACTGATTACTTGTGGATGTTCATTATTCATGGCAGGGACCAGTTCATTTCCCCCACAAATAGTGAGTGTTTACTGTGTAAGCAAGAGAAAAAAAAAAAGAAAAAGAAAAAAAATTACGGTACATGCAACAACTCTGACAGCTTTCATTTATAGGAATGGCTTCGTCTCCCTCACCGGTTACTTTGAGACTTCAACAGTCTCTTAACAGCATATTAATATCTCGGAAATGTCAACAATATCTGGCCATACTTATAAATACACACACACACACACACACACACACATCAACATGAGCAGAGCTTCACACATTCAGTCGTACTCCTTGCAAATGTCTCTGAATGTGTGCATATAGAAGTATATTCATGCGTAGCAGCCAAGGGAATTGATACCTTTTGATAGAGGATGGTCCCATTGGTGTCATTTCCTGAAGCAACCATCTTGTAGTCGGTGGCATACTGCATCACAAAGAAGAAAAAACTTTTTTTGTTTTTATCCTAGTGAATAAATATGTGATCTTTAACATGATTACTGAATGGCTTCCTCTCACATAACTTGCACATCCAGAGAGAGAATGATAAATGAGTTTCTGATAATTGGGTTTCTATTGTTACCACCCCAATTCTAACCAGAATAATAAAAAACAATATACTACAGTATCATGTTTTTACTTCCCATTAAAAAACATGGTGGGAGTAATATGACCTTTAAAATACCAACTTCCGAAAAATATGTTGCTTGATCTGTTGGTATTTATGTCAATCTATAGTATATTATAGTAATGGTGGATAGGGTCCATTCACGTTGCATCACCACTAGAACTGGTAAGTGGCAGTGTTCAAAACTCTACCAACACGAAAATGATCATTACAAATTTCATTAACAGCATGCTAGTTTGTTGTAGAGCAAAGAGAGACAATAATACTATTTCTCACGATTGCTTTTAAATCTACCATTTACCCAAAGTTGCCTTTGTCAGCATTTTGGAGGGATGAATTGGAATTGGGATTTGAGGACCATTTGAATGGCTTCATTTGCAACAACGCTCTCCTCTCAACCTTACTCAACAACAGACTGTACAGAAAGGATGATGACACAGAAAGAAGTGCATATTTTAAAGGCCAGGCATAGAATCTTGCGCCGGTGTGGCTATGGTCAAACAAATGGACTCTGAATGACTTGTGAAATGTTTCCTGAAAGATCAAGCTTATGTTTTTTCTGTGCCTCTCTGCTTGCTTGGTTTAATCCTCAATTGGTGATGTGAGCGGTGTGGAGGGAAGTGCACTCCGTGACTTGCCTGCACTTTGAAACACACTCCTCTCTCCATGCAAGGAGTCACGTTTATGATTCACTTCTCCAATTTCCACTGGTTTGTTTGTGGGACTTTGTCCACTGCTATGCATGTATGCGGTCTTTTGGTGGATAAGCGTCTCCGTCTTGCACCCTTTTACCCCAAATACAGAGCATAGTGGATTCCTATTTTATCGTCTGATAGAGCAGAGATAATAATTCTCGAAAGTGGGCCACGTTCAAAAGCAACGAGGCGAAGTGAGTTGCTAGGCTGGCGTGAATGGAATGATTTTGCCATGGAAACGGCTGGTGGGTAGAAGCCAAAGAGTCCTCATTAAGAGGCATTATAAGACTGAGCACACCAGTAAGTATTTACAGCGGCTGTAAATGAACATGAAGTGGCATCAGTGGTGTCGGAGAAATAAATTCTGCTGGTTAATCTACACGTGAAACAGGTGCTTGTGAAAAATGGGTGACCCATGAGCATGGAGAGCAAAGTGGATGAAGTGAGGCACTCACAGAGCGGAAAGCTGCAGCCACCAAGTTAGATGGAAATAAATTCCTGTAAAAGATTGAGAAGAATTAGACTTTCAAAACGTGTCAGCTTTAATGCAATGCAGCGGACTCTCAAAAAGAACATTCCACAATCTACTGCACATTGAAAGTTTGTCATCACACGCTCTTAACACATTGGTTCATTTCCAAGGATGGTTCATCAGGTCCACTGCTTCTCCTCATATCCCCTGACAAAGCAATTTCTCAGGCGACATTGTTCTGGCGCTGGACGTTAGCAAAGATAATGTACAACTAAAAGGTCTACACATTATTTGAGCTTGTGAAAGATTGTGATTTTTGAACAAGTTCTCTTCAACGTACATTTTGAATCAGCAAGATATCACCAGCATGCAATGACTCAGGGGATTGAAACAAATAGAGACCTAGACTGCAACTCTTCAGAGAGTGACACAAAATCGAGTTAAACTGTTAATAGAAGTTTAAAAAAAAAAAAATGCATTTTTGTTTATTTGTTCATTTCTGGAAGCAGACTACTTCTCGGTTTATGTTGTATGAAATATGATGGCAAGAATGTGATATATGTGGGTGTGGTAGGTCGAGAACAGTTCCAGTTTTGTGATTCAAAAAGAGAGAGTATATTCTTCAAATAAAAGTAAAAAAAATAGCGCCAGCACTGTGTTTGTCTGTCTGTTTGTTTGGGCATGCATTTACATCATCTTGAAAAACAAACAAACTGTTGTTTTGGACTTTTATTTTAGTCAGGGGCATAATAAGAGATTAGAAATTGATGACTGAGAATTCCTGATGGGTGTGTAATTGATTATCGAGCAATCATTTTTTCATTCGGGTAAGGTATGGATTTGCGAAAAGTTAGAGATTTGGACCCTTCCGTCCAATCACAGTACAGTAATCCCTCGTTTTTCGTCGTTAATGGGGTCCAGAACCCCCCCCCCCGCGAAAGGTGAAAACATGCATTGCTTTGGTGGCGGCAAGGGGTTGGGGCACAGCTTAACTAATCAAAAAAACTTCTCGCTTAAAACAAGTTATCACGAACACAACACTAAGATACAGTATGCAAGACAAGGGAAAATGCTGGGTGAGGCTGCGATGATGTGCAGCCAATCAGCTTACGGGATAAATCCACTCGTGTTCTCATTGTTCGATGTCGTGCCGTACCAATCACGCACCTTGAGTGAGTGGACATGTACAGTACAGTACAGGCATATACAAAGCCTCTGAGTCACGTCGGCTCTTTGTTCAGCATGCAGGGAAACCTCTCTCGTGCATCAACATGAAAGTACGCATCTTTCTGCAATATGGCTGCCGATATGGCTGTATTTTTTTTTTAATTTCGTTTGTATTTTTTTCATATATTTTGGGGGAAAAAAACGTGAAACACTGAAGCCGCAAAACTTGAAGCGCCAAGTGACGAGGGATCATTGTAATTGATTATGTTCTTGTATCCCGTTCCGTGCGCACTGCTCAGTGTAACAGAAATACCCAAATTGTACGTGTGCATCACTTTGTTGTTTTCCCCTGTTCTTATTGGGGAATACTTGTTGCACATTATTTAGCAGCCTCCTAACTTCAGTGCTCGGCTCCTTCAGGAGTTGGACCGCACTTATTTTTTTAATCACTCAATTTTCTTTACCTACCTAGCAAATGGGTGATTATTTTTTTTTAAATTACAAAGCGATCCATTATTGAGATGGACTGCAAGTTAACTAATTCTAAGGCGTATTGGAAAATTCACTTTGACACCCGTGCACCATTCTGAGAGCGGGTGTGTTCAAAGAGATAGCGTGTGCTGCGCTCCCATTCATTTTCGAATGCAGCCAGCACTGGCGCACCGTGTCCCCAATCAGATCGCTTCGTGCCTCGCACCATATTAATTGTACTCTAAATAGTGGGATGACAAATTTGAGGGGCGCTCTCAGTTTCCAAATGGTCGCAATGAACCAGTGCGCGCTCAGAGATTATTTCCGAAGGTGCCCCTAAATGCGCAAGACAATGAAAGACAGGAATTGTATTGCAACAGAATGGCTACTTGTGTATTTAAAAAAAAAAATCAACTTAAATAATTCTAAACATAAATATATAAATTGCCGGGTGGGTTGGGGGGGGGGGGCTAGAAATATTTCTAACAGGACTTGCTTTTTGTCTCACGTCACCCTTTGTCAATTGTAAATCTGCATGCTTGTGGCCTTCACACCACCTACGACGACGGGTATTTAATGAAAGTGATTTCACTGGGGTTACTTGATGTATTTCAACGCAAGCTGGCTGGCAACCCTTAATTCTAAAATGATTCAGTTTGTTTTTTTTCCCATCTCGTTTTTCTAGTCTAGCGTTACTCGGGCCTCCCTCCCAGACACCACACTGATTCTATTTTCTTTGTTATCAGTTAAGCACACAAAGGATTACTGGAAGCTTTGGGTTGTTTCCACGTATTAGTGTGTGTGGGGTAACTTTTTCCCCGGAGGTCACACTACATGGTGCAAAGAAACACAACTTTTTCCCACAGTGTCTGATGAGTTCAGCACTTAAAAACCTGGACAACGATTCAGTTGTTTCACACGGCACATCTTTTGTAAAACTGATGGGACATTATTAGTTTCAATCTTACATCGCTGTCACACACAGTTTTTAATTAAAGTCTTTGAGTCATAATGTTTCGTTTAACAGCACATGACCAAGGCAAGGAACTGTGTTAACTTCGAGAAGTTGCAATGATGGAGACTGTTTTTTAAAGATCTCACATTAAATGGTATCTTTATTCCTTAATTAATAGCAGAAATAGGCCATGCTGGAGCCCTTTAGAGGGAAGGCAATAGGAATTGTTGTTGTTCTGCTTAAGCGGGTTGTTTGCGACAAACACACATGAGAATATAAACACCTGTTCCCCATTACTTGGATGCACTGAATCATATTCTGAACTTGTGTGGTTCTGACATCTGCAGACTTGAGGCAATTAGTGGAGCTCAGAGATCAAAGTAAACATGGTGAAGATGCATTTAGCTGTTATGCTGCACACAAATGGAATAAGCTACCAAAAGAAGTCAGCCCCGAGTGTAACTGCTTTTAAATGCAGCTCAAAAACCTTGCCGTTTCCCTTTCATTAGGGTCTTAAAATTGTTTTTTCGGTTATTTTAGAACCCTACATTTAGTTCTTTACTTTTAAATGTTTTAGGGTTTCTGTTCATGTATTTTAATGCCGTGTATACACATGAGTGTATACATAGTATAATATTGTGTTGGAGTGAAATGTAACTCAGAATCCCTCCTAAGACTAAAGTGCATGACGAAGTTGCACAGCAGTGTAAAGTTACAAGACGCAGCTTATTTAAAACTGTCTGGATGTCTCTCCTAGCATTTACTATCATCTGTAGTAAAAACAAAAAAAAATGGCACTAAAATAACACTTGTGGTCGACATTTGCACACTGATTTAGCATAGAATCCAGATTTATTAAAGGATGTGGTGGCACATTTAACATACTGTGGTCATAAGCAAGAAGTGCCGACCAGACCAGTGTGTGACTGGTTGGAACTGAACAGAGCCGCAACAGATGAAGCCTTCTACCCAAAATACACAGCTCTTCCACAACAGCTGTCTTCTCACTCGTACGGTGAGAATTTGTTATCAGGAAAACAGCCTCAAACCAATGGTGAATCAACTCCTTCTTCCTTTTAAGCCGATTTCTATCAGCTTCTCAACATGCAGGACTAACTAAAAACAGGAAAACAGCCTCAAACCAATGGCGAATCAACTCCTTCTTCCTTTTAAGCCGATTTCTATTTTTAAGATCATATGTTGTTATTTGAAACTGGTGATCAAGTTCTGCTACAAGGTTCATCCAGTGGCTGAATGTTCATTTAATTTGTTTAGAGGGGAGAAGGATGACCATCTTATAATTTCCTAACAGTGTTTACACCTGTTGACAAAGGTGCCTTTCCTTCACTCGCATGGTTTTGTCAAATACTGTAAAATCAAAGCAGGCGGCACTGACCTGCTCTCCAACCGAGTCACTTCGCACTCAAACCTTCGACACATGTAGTTCAGATAATCACCTGACATCAGCGGTGGGAAGTACAACTAATTTGTTCGTGTACTTTAATAGCTTTGTCAAATATCCTAAGTACTTCTTTTTCTGACAACATTTTAACTTTTACTCCCTACATTGGAAAACATATATGCTGCTGTTGCTTCATACACTGTTGTTTGTTTGGGGAGTACGTATACGCTACCTGGCCAGGTCCAGAAATGAGTCGGTGGTCTCCTTATCGCTGCTGACGCTCTCCAGACCCAGGCTGTTGGTATTGAGGGCGCCCGCGCCCACGCCGGGTTTGACGATAAACGCCAACGCCACGCCGATCCCGGAGGCGATGAGGGTCGTAACCAGGAAGTAAGCGACCGCGATGCCTCCCAATTTGCCCAGTGAGCGGGTGTCCAGGCTGGCCGCGCCGGAGACGAGGCTGCACACGACCAGGGGAAGGATGATCATCTTCAGCATCCGGAGGAGCATCTCACCCGGGAAGGCGAAGTAGGTCATCTGAGCCTTGGTCAGACTCATGTTGCGCACCCCCATTCCGAGCCCGACACCCACCACAACCCCGGAGACCGTCATGATCACCAGAAGATTCCGGCGAAGAAACCCCACTAGCTTCTCCTGCAAGCTTTTCGAGGCACTTTTCTCTCGCAGGCGCTCTGCGGAGCCGGCCATGGCGTGGCCGTTGATTTCGCTCTTTTTCTCCATCTTTTTTTCCCTTTGGGTTTTCCCCTCTGAACGCACGGCAGCGTCGGAAGCTTGAACCGAGTTTGTGCTCAACGAAAGCGTGGTTTGGACTCACACTCGACAACGAGGGTTGGAGCCGGTGTGGGGGATTAAGTCGGGGGGTGGGAACCAATCGGGTTGCCACTGCCAGGAACATGCGCACTAGTTGACAGACCTGATGCAAGATTATATGGTATTGCTCCAGAAATTGTGGAAATGGGAT